AAAAAAAGAATAGCACACTGACGCATAAATTGATGAATGTAACTAAAGACAGTTTCAATTATCAGTTTGTTTTAAACCAATTTCATGAATGCATCAATGCAACGAAATCAACAATCCACTGATGAGTTCGCTTTAAGAGGATTAATATTATGCTCGCTAGGCATACTTATTACACTCTAAAAACCCATATTTAAATTGCTTCGTTGGCCGAATCCTTTAGTGGATAATCATCTGAACATTTCCATCTCGTTGATCCAAAGCAGGCGGAACTAGGAACAGGCAAGCGTAAGGCGCAAAATTTTAAAGACCCTTGCAGTCGATTATCTTAGTTCAGATGAATCTGCTCTTTGACTCGAGTTGATGTTCAAGTCACGAGTTTGCATCTAAACGCTACACCTAATGCATTCACAGAAATCATTGATGATTGTCCAGGCCATAGCACGATTTCGAATGCATCCACCTAACCCGAGGAAGCTTCGAAATACATCAAATCATAGAAATGTGCTAATGAGGAATACATCAGCGGCTTAGACGCTTACATTACCCTGATCCCTCAGAAATTCATTATCATTAACGCAGTATTGAGAGTTGTTGCCAATCAGTACCCAATCAGTGTAGGATAAGGTCTCGAATTTCAAAGTGATCTCACAAACCAAAGTTGATCATCTGGCAGGAAACTGAAAGAGGCTCTTCTGTTTCCAGCAAGACTCCAGATGGATCAAGTAAGCAACTGAAGTAAATTCGTCACGAATCTCTCATCCATGCATCGAACTCCCATCATTTTAACCAATTCCATTTAACAATTGAACCAACGGCCCGCCCCAGCTCATCCTTACTTATGCGTTTGTCCATCAATACCTATGTGCTCGTCATCGCATTCTATCAACTTTTTCACCACTGCTTTTGGTATATGAACTGAACTGATTTTCAGAAAAATACTTCATTCGATATTAACGATAAGCACGAATGATGATAATTTGGCTTTCGTTGAAATCAAACCGAACACAGTTTTTAGCATTTCGAAGTCGTTCATGAATGATTTATGAGGAGCTCACTTGAGAGATGCAAGCGATCGCTGTAAAAAATGTTCTCGAATCATGTGCGATCTCAAATTGTCGCTTAGCAATGAGCTATCCCCATTCAATTGGAACAAGAGTGTTCGTAAAATTTAAAAAACTCTATCTATCAAAAGGTTCGGTTAGATCAATCCATAATGTTAAGCAGTTGCAATCGAAATTACAGAATGATTTGAATAGAGCAGTTGCGCGAAGATTAACGTGCGCAATAGTGTTGCATCAAAGCTCCTGGAAAGAGACGCACATCACATAAAGAGGACTCCCACTGCAAATTTGTGACAATTCTTCGAACATAAGCATTTTCAATGAACCATTCAGCCACTGATTTCTATCGAAGCAGTTATTCAACTTTCAAGAGCACTTAGTACCGCATAATTGTTCACATCGGCTTGAACCAAATGCAAATATTAGCGAGCGCAATTCAGGCAAAAGAATGCTCATTGATCGATGCAGTGGCTGGTAAACGCCAATTTGAGAACAATTTATTTTTTATTTCACCGTCATCGCTGTTCCTGGTCCAATCGCACACTCGAATAAACTTTCTACTGTTGGTTTTTTGTCGTCGCGCACTTCATCTT